ATCTATATAAGATTTTCTAATTAAATATTCCATTTTTATGCCACTTAATCCGCATATGGTGGTTATGTCTCCAAAATGAAGAACATATTCTAGAATGATATATTTCTAAATTGATACAGGCTACTGATAAATGAATTGACGTTATCAGATCTAGAGCCTTTAACCTTCTAGTTGAAATCAAGGATTTCCAGTTTCTATGATAGTTATAATGATCTTGTTTTCAAACAAGCCTAACGTTTGGTCATATTTTAACTGAACTGTTTTACACCAAGTCTTACATATAGCCCATTGTTTTAAATGGTGTTGGCTATTGAGTACACGGTTTTATATCAAGGTTTCACGGTGGGTGTTACCGGCCAACAAAGGGTTTTTGCCCCTTCTCTTCAAGGCTCTTGTTATCACCTTTGATGTTTCTGTTTGTGTATTTTGACTCATTCACAATCCGTATTATTCAATGGATTTATGATTTGATCGCTGATCGTTATCTTCCCCATATTCTCGTTTAAAGTCATCATTTCGTAAGTTCTGTATATGGTCGATACAAAGACCTTGTCAGCAAATACAATCTGTCATTAAGTGAAATGCTGACTGATATTTTTCATACTGCTAGTCCATTATTTACGCACTGAATTGTAAAGAATGTTTTCGTTATTTCTCGATCATGACAAGGAACAAACGGCAGGCATGACCAGGGGATGCTCCATGGCACTTGATCCCACCTCTGATGTTACAGAAGTTCGTGTTTGCTCTTCTCCTATTTTGTAATGTTTAATGTACTTTAAGCTTGAATACTGTTCGTTATCTACGCATGTTTCATTATTTAAACCACTTGGGATTAAAAATCTGCGCCTGTACAGAGAAAACAAAATCTTTAAAAAAAAGACTTCTCGAGAGAAACACAGACATTTATTTTGCGTATTCTCAGACAAATCAGCACCCTTGAGACTTGCATAAATATCAGACAGTAAAGTTTCCGTGAATAGTATCAATTCTTACCTTTGATTAATCCTAAATTAAATCAATATATACCAAGATTGTTCGGCGTGTCATTTTTGTATCGAACTGTATTAAATATAAATAAGATAGGTATCATTAACACATTGTTCTATTCCCACGGGAACATTTTGCAACACGTTTACCGGTTATTTTTATCTGCTGGAGTAGTTCAGTGATATATATATATACATAGTTGTATTCTCCCTGTAAAAATTGCTTTTAACAGGGAGAATATTCAGTGTTTATAGTCTTTGAATGAAAAATGGAGATAACGACCTCAAAAGTCAATTGAGGCAATATAAATTAGTAGCACAGTAAAGATGGACCTCTAAAATACACCTAACTTGGGATCGGGTGTCAAGGAGGAGAAAACGTTCTTTGTCGACAGGTCACACCCGCTGTGTGCTCAATGTCATGGCGACACAAACGGAAAAATCCATATACAAATCAGTGTATGTAAATAATGATCTTTTTCAATTTGTGTGAGAAATATCACTCACCATTAGACCTAATGTTCAATCGTATTTGCTTACATGTACAAGATCATTCAATATTGCCTGTAGTTCTGAAAAATGAATTAACAGAAAAATGTACAACTTAAGATAACTTTATTACTGACGCACATGGAATACTAATTGTAAATTAACACATTTAAATTATGTGTACACATGAAATTGGTTTGAATGAGCATTGTTATGAAATATTTGTTTTCTCAGAACTTTGTATCTTTCCTTGATTATTGTAACCATTTAAAATGTGTTTCCTTATTGGACTCTGTTTTAGATATATTATTTGTTTTGTTCTTTTTTTATATACAGATGGAATTATGTTTTTTTTTAATTCATAAACATGAACAATACAACTCATTTGTGACGCATTAAATCTACATCGTTAAAATTCAAATCGAATAACTTAATTTTCATAGAACCTGTGAGATGCACCGTGTTAAATATTGGTAATTAATGTCTAAAGCTTTATAAAACCAAAAGAGTAACAGTCTGTGTTTTTTTCTCTATCAAACTAATCGCAAAGTTGCATGCGAACCAATTCAAGATTAGCTGTTCCGATTACCCAGTCTGAGGTAAACGTGAGTGTGAAATCACATTGATGTTGATGAAATTCTGTAATTAGCATCCCTGAAAATCAAATATGCTAATGTCTTATGGCTAGAAATTTCAAGAATGTTTTGAAGATATGTGGTGTCTCATTAAGCGTACCATTTAGATTTACCAATGTGAATTTTATAAGGCTATCAGCTGTTAAATTCATATAATTTCACTCATCTTTGTCTTGGTTCATAACTCAGATTTTTAAAAAATCATATTCAATAATTGTAAGGATCTATTATTTAACAAAATCGAAAAGTCTTTTTTCATGAAAGCGTTCTTTAAGCACATGCAAAAATATAATATCGGAACATGTGTATAATATGCATCTCTGTAATAATCTCTATAGACGTCCTAACAAATGGAAAATTAGCATTGCGTTTCTTTTCTAATGATATTGAAACTCGGCTTGGTCAGCAATTAATTATATAGCATTTTCTTTCATTAACATGACCTTTTTTTATTCTTTTTTTTTGCAACATATTTCTTGTGATTCTCACAATAAAAATGGATAAAAATCATTATAAGGCATTCTTAACCCTAAACTGGCTGATGAGGGAAGTTTGATTTTCAGTATATCAAAATACCAGTATATCAGTATATCAAAAGTTTGATTTTCAGTATATCAAATAATGATCGAGGACTGCGTTCTTTAGATTTTTAATAAAATTGTAGGGCCTAAACATATTTATTATGTCGAATGCTGACTGACGTGTTTCATATTACATTGTAATTGTATGACCATTATTTACACTGGATTGTCGACGGATTTTTCCGTTAAGTCCCGGTCATGACAAGGATCACACGACAGGAGTGATCGGTCGATAGGGGATGATCACTCCTCCATAGAACCTGATACCACCTCTGATGTTTTAAAGGTCAGTGTTTGCTCTGCTCCAAGGTTTGTAGTGTTTAATGGACTTCTGAGCCTAAATACTGTTCGTTATCGCCAAATATTTCATGCACATCATTCTTTATGTTTTCTTTAATGTATAAAAGTCGTACAATTTTGCTCGAATCATTCTACATTGTATTATTATACCGTATAGCGCGTTTTCTTGGCGGGTGTAAAATTTGGCGTTTTGCCTGCTCAAAGGTATGTTAATAATTTTAGCGTAATTCATTTTAGCGGACAAAGGGTTTCAGTTCTTTGCAAATGGACACTAAAAAGAGAACTTTTCTATATTAGCGATTAAAACTTTAGCAGACTGTTATTAAAATGCCAAAATAAGCCAAAATTAACACACCGCTAAATTAACCAACTATACGGTATTGCTAATTATTGACCGGTAATTATTATAAAATGATTAAAATTTACTTCTATAATAGCAACTGGATCGAAAAGCCATATCACTTGTCTGACGTAATTTAACTGTTGATTTTCAGAATTTGTATGAACTACTTTGGACCCCTAATTATGTTTCCTAATCGATATCAGTAATAAAACTTCCCACAAATACTAGTTTTTCCATTATTATTAAGAGATATAAATCAATTCAGATTAAGGTCAACTATTAAATGTTAATTACGACAACCTTTGGCAATCTATTTGATATCTAATACATGAAAAACTTAATCTTCTTTATGCCCATTTTATGAGGTTTTTTTCCTACGTAATCTGAAAACAGATCGCGCACAGAAAGATAATGTAGAGAATACGAAGAAATGAACGTTTTAAAAAGCAACAAAACAAATAAATGTGTAAAGGCTTTTATATTTGAAGTTTAAAACACATCTTAGGTTTGAAAGGGCATCCACTACGTTGATGTTGTCATTATATAACACCTGTTTTTGGCATTTCACCGGAGAAAACAAAACATATCCTGAAAATGGGAAAAATTATAATGGTGGGAGTTGTATATGACTCCGGGATTTAATTTTATCTCCCTGTGAAATATTCAGAGTTTGTAACCACATTTCACATTTGCTTTGAAGTTCACCTTCCCCTTGCGCTTGTGGGGAAGAAGACTTTGGACGAACACTCTTGTCACAGGCAAGTCCAGCTTGTAGAGCATCGTAATATTTGTTATCGTCATTGTTTAGGTTTGGTTGTGGTGTCATCGAAAGTCGATCATGTTTTTGTAAATTTTCACTACTTAATGGTATTTGTATATTGACTTTCACCTTTGGAACGTCTTTGTCTTCGCCCTCATGAGAATCAACTGAAGATCCTCGACTTATGTTAGCTCTCCAGGAATAACTCCCTCTCCTGATTTTAGGCGTCGTTATAGGGGAATTGGTCTGCTTAGGGGTAGACGGAGTTTCTTTTTGAGACAGAGAACTTCTTTGACTCCCGGGTGAAGACGGTGGTGTTGGTGTGGCTGATCCAGGGGTCGCGCATGTCGGTTCGAATTGAAATCCTTGAGCAATCATAGGTGATCGAGGAGACCGGCAGTCTTGTATCAGAGGAGTATTAACATTATCATCAACAATGTTCTCGAAACATTGTATTGTCTGTCGACCATCTTGTTCTTCTAGCAGCTGAGGGCATGACCGCACTCTAGATAAGGACATATTCGATCCACGTCTGTTCATATCATGAAAATCTTCCTCCTCGTCGCTGAAGCAGTCAGCTACATTTAAAGTACGTTTCTTCACTTGTTTCGATACATTCTTTTTCGATGCCATTGTAATTACAGAAGTTTGGTATCGCTGATAACTGTTCTTTGTTAAAGAACACACTCAATGTTTCCTTCAAATATTTCACTTCACCATTAATTATCCTTCGTCCTTATATTAATTTTTCTCAGAATATTTCAATGTCTCTATAAAATCTCGACTGACGAATCTATTATGAGATTCAATAATTTATCGATATTGTGTGGTTTTAATTTCACATAGCTTGAGCCTGTGTTTGGCAAGCTCTTCTGACCATCGGTGGTCTTATTTGACTTTTTTGTTTTAACAGTAATAAAATCAATACACTTAAAGGCGTTATATTTCGTGATTTACATCCACATTTTCTGATGTCGTTCAAATTACAGAAATATAGATGTCCTTTGTAACGGTATAGATGTGTTACGTCAACACTCCCTGTTTCGAAATTATCCAAAGATAAAATACTTCGCATTCATCGTATAAACAACAGCTTTATCCTGAAAAATATAGAAAAATTATGCTTAAGATATATATATCTTTTTCCGACATTTATTGATCCCAGAGTGAAGGGAAAATTTCCCTAAACAACTGTTTGAGATGTAACAGTCGTATTTAAGTTTGCAAATAGCTTGTCTGAAAGAGGATGGGAAAAAACAATAAATAATAATGTTGCTTTGGACTTATGTCGTTGTGATCGATCTTGAACGCCCTCTATCGATTTTATCAGGTAAAGCATGGTGATTTATACTTAAGTCCCCCGCATAAATCCATCTTACATGAAAACTACTCACTACTCAAGAAACAATTGAATCAGAATGCGATTGAAAAAGATCTCTGACGTTTTGCATTATAAAAAACTTATAAAAAAAGACAAAACTAACTACGTTACCTTACTCCTAAATATTTATTTGCAATTGTTGCGTTTGATTTTATACAAAAAATCTAATAAGTATAAGTAATATACTCTAGTTACTTGTAAGTGTACTTTAAATGCACACAGGTGCAGTCTCTTATGACGAAATCCAAAGTTTAACAGCTGAAACTCAAAAAAGTCAGCACCGCTTTATGTTCTCGCACAATTTACATGCAAATTGGCAAAGCGGAAATATTTTTTCCGGCTAGTATGAAATCATGTTGTCATGATGAATAAAATTATCGAATTACTGACTAAATTTACCAATCCTCTCGGGTCTTTTGAGCAATAAATTGCTTTTTGTCTCTTGGCAGTCACGAAATAAAGGGATATTTTTTTAAGTACGTGTTTTTTTTTAGTATTTAGAATAGGAATAAAAAAAACAACGAATCCAGAAAGAGATTCTGCCATACTGATTGTGTTCAGCGAAGAACGAGTTGGAAGCTTTTAATTTAACTAATAAGTAGTACTGACAGATTGAGGAATGTTCAGAAAGGACCTTCAGAATAAAATGAGGTCCCATTTCGCAATAGCTGCTTCTCTCTCTCTCTCTCTGCTTAATGGTCGTGTAGATCAAAATTTACAGCCTTCCATGTAATCAGAAGGTCGCGGGTTCGAACCCTGGCCGCAACTGAAATACAAGTCGGTAAAAAAGGTAGCAGTTTTTTTTCTTCGCCAAGAGCTCGGTACATTGACATGAAAGTTCTGGGTCATTTGGATGAGACCTTAAAATCACAGGCACCTCGTCACAGCAGGTATTGCCACAATAAAGATCCCTCACTGCACTGCTCAATGGCACTGGATGCCAAGCAAAGGTAAATATTTGAAGCCCTTCACCGGTATATGGTGACGTCTCTGTATAAGTGGAAAAAAATCTCGAATGGGAAATAAAGCAACATTCGATCAATCAATTCCACTGCCTCAACTTGAGTTAAAAAATCTCGATCAGATTTTTGAACAAACCAACATATAACATAGATTATCTGTCAAATGTATGAAATCATCCTCTATCATTACGTATGAAAATATAGGATGTGTTTCATTTCAACGCGTTTTTCTATGATAAAAAACGTAATCATTATAATATAAAAAAAATAATTAATCTGATTTTATGCAATATTATATACATAAAGAAATAATACCGAGCAACACTTCAAATAGAAACCTTATAACGCTGGATTTGTCATTAATGAGAATATCTAACTTTGTGGCACAGTGCTACAAAAGGTCCATTTTAGAAATGAAATAATATGAGCCATAACATTAATTTTAATAAATTTAACTCACTGACCTATACATCCCCTCTCTTAGATGGAGTGTTTCTACACTATAGCTCATATCCATAAGTCATATTTAAGATCCATCTGTGGATAAGAACTGTACTTACAACAGTATTTAGATATAATCTTTATGAACCTATATGATAATCCTCGGCAGAAGCTAGGCAATACATTGTTTTATAATTGTAGACTGAAGTAATTAAATATGATTGCTGATGACGCAAAGAGAATAAATGAGAAAAATAAAATTCTTACGAATATATGGAAAATGACACTAATTTTTTTTAATGCTTTTAAAGTTGATAATACATTATCTTTGTAAGCTAACAGAATTATGACAACTATATGAAAGATAATGAATAATTACCGTAAACATGGCCAGCATGTTAAAGATCCATTAACCCAAAGTCAATATTTCAGAAATTACTTGCACTGGCACTGTAAGCGTGTTTTATGAATTGACATAAACCAACGTTAAGCATTCAATACGTTTATTCTACTTGACGGACCGATTTAACAAGAAGCATTCGATCGATAGACTGCTAAAGGAAGGAGATATTGTCAGAGGACTTTGGTAATGTTTTGTCGCTCCAGGATACATAAGTGGGAATGTCAACTTCCGCATATTACGCGGCAGTGATATAGAACCATTTATAAACCCTGTCAGGTAACATGACGCTACAGACCTGAATAAATGTTTAACGCAGATCATGCGGATCTCCTATCTTGTCAAATACCGACTGCCATTTTGCAAACAGGTAAAAATTGTGAATTTAAAAATGTGTGTTCTTATCAATAATGTTGACATGTGCTTTAAAAGTAATATGGATTCTTTAAAAGACATTAGAAGTTCCAGAGAGTCAATTGCTAATTACAGATGCAAAGCTTAAACGAAATTTGATAAATGGTAATTGATTATAATAATGGTATGGATTACAGCTGAAAAAGACATCAAGATTTAACCACATACATACATTCAAAAACAAACATCTTATTTTACAGGCAAATAATCATGAAAGGTGACATTGAATGCATATCCAAGAGTGCAGCAACACTTTTTTAAAGTAAACAAAACCCGAGACAAGCAAACTCATTAACCCGGTATTAATGACGTCAAAAATTGTGCAAAATATTTTTGACTTGGCGTACTATTTTGTCAAAATACGATCAAGATTGCCTTTTTGGAATCCAGTCAGACGTTTATTCGTTTTAGACACCTACGTAGTCATCGAATAATTGGTCTAAATTAAGGTAACAATGGTCTTGAAATGCGGTATTGAGATGAATATAACCTTATCCGTGTTTTTATTGAATCTAAAATCCGATTAATTACGACAATTCTTAATTAAAATGTTTAATTCTGTACATTTACTACGTAAAAAGATTTAATAATGTTGATTACTTCCACAGACACAGGAAATTTCCTTCATTCATCTCTTTATAGTAAAATAACGTATATAACATACTTCGAATAGAAGTTGTCATAGCAAGTCGCTTATTAATTGAAAATTCTATGATGGAACTATATATAGTTCTCTGATTACGATTTTGGTTTATATTGATGTCGATTGAAATCTGATTTATTTTGAAAAGAGCAAATTACAATATCTAAATAAAATCAGGAAATATAATCACTGTATGGGAAAACGCATATTGAAAAAATTACACACTACTATAAAAAACAACTTTGGAATCAAGGAAGAAAAGTCGTATCATTTTTTTCTGTATAGCGTATAATGATATAACTTTCAGAGAGAAAAAAACAATTTAGATTAAACATAATTGAATATAAATAGGAACGTGAAATATGTGGAAATAACGAACAGTATTCGAGCTCAAAAGTCCATTAAATTCGTTCTTTTTTTTTGGTTATATAATTTACTCTTTATCGATATTGTAATTATCTTCCCCGTGATTCATTTTGTAATTCTGGAATAATGGTAATAAAACATTTTATTCTGTATTAATACATTCCTAGTACCGGTATTTATATTTCAAGCTAATAAACTGAATATTTTACAGCTTCAAATTTTATCATTTAATATTAAAAAAGAATAATATTTCACTGTTAAGTTTGATCATTAAATATTCATAGATTGGAGTTAAATGCATGCAGCAGTGATTCAAAACATGACGACAAACGGTGCTTTACGCATTACGGGCTTTACTTGCCCTATGCACTGATGTTCTCGTTGTTTAAACAGATTGACGACAGCACGATCATTTGTTTTGAGTCATCTTGTTTCAATCGGCCCGATAACGTGATTATTGCAAGAAACAAGTGAAAAAAATTTGATGTTTTTATGCAAATTGGTAAGATAATGACCATGTTGTTTTGGGTGTGTGCTTTGTTTTATACTCAAATCTCTAACAAAGCTGTTATAATCAGAAGGGAAGATAATGACCATGGAAATGTGATGTCATCAAAACTTCTCCTGAAGGAATCGTGCAACAAATTGTATAATTCAACGCAGTTAAATAAAATACTGTGGTTTCATCAATGTTCGTGGAGTTTGCAAAACAGACGTTTTCGAGGATATGTAATTTCGTGAATAAAAGTATTACCTATACAAATGAATATTACATTTCTTAATTCAATGAACATTTGAATTCGTGGATCTGCTCAACGAAATCCTCGAAAATTGTTGCTCAAAGAATATTGATGAAACCACAGTAATTGATTTACAAGCACGGAACTTTTCAATGTGATTACAGTTTTTTTTACATGTATATTTTACAAATAAAATTGAATTTGCTTAATCAGAATTTATTTATATTTTTATTAACATTTTTGATGATATGATTGAAATTTTAACACTTTTATACCTTATTGAAGAAAGCTAGGCTGAGAGGTTGATATTATCACTGACAGTCAACTTGAGGTTATCTCTCGGTAAATTCTGTAATAGATCATTAACATAATTTCATATTAAACAACACAAAACTTCATATTCATAAAAACTGGAGTGTGTAGTTCAAGGAATGAATAGCTTCACTTCAGGTTAACCAAAGAAATAAGAATGCAATTGATGGCTTTTTTATGAGCCAGTAAGGTCGTAATCAATAGACTGCTGCTTGTATTGTATTCCCTATATGAATTAAATAGTCTAAATAGTTTAACACCAATCGTAGCACATGTACATGAACATTTACACATATTAATAATAATAATCACCTATTTCACAATCAATGATAATTAATAATAGCCTGTTTAATAATAGCGTACAATGTAAACATATTCAAAATGATCGATTGCTTCATTTTGGTTATGCTACATGTATAAGGTTAGAAAATATTGAAAGGCAACAATATTTAAACAAAAATATGTTTTGCACTCATCTGTGGCTGTTTTCTATTGCGATTTCTCGGAATGGAATGAATATTTAATAGTAAAAAACAATATATTTTCTTTGGCATTTTCTATCATGAAGCCTAAAGATTTAAAATAACATTTATCTTAAGCTAAGTAAGTCTGTACGTACCTGAGAAAAGAAAATCAAATTCTGCTCGAGATCCAGTCTTTTGATAACCTTGTAATGGAGAAGACAAGGTAACTTTTTCAATCTCTTTGGTAAGACTCAAAGCACAAACATCTTTTCATAAAGCAAACTCATAAAACTATTCCTAGTCTTGGTATCTTGATTAAAAAAGTTAGAAAATACTCAGGTCATATTGATCATGAAATTAAGAAAGTTAAATCGTTACCTTTTCCCAGTGACTCAAAATATCCCTTTGAAAAAAGAAAATCAAGCAAACATTATGTAATCTCCGTGTTTCACGACAGGATCGTTTTTGCTTGTGCACGCGATACGATCTCCTTGGTATTGCTGTGAAGAAAGAAAGTTTGGTACGTGCCCTCTAACGCATTGTTATTCTTGTCGACAGGGTTAAAAAAGAACCTGCAAAATCAATATCGACTTGGAATACAAAGAATTATCTCAGATTTCAATGCTAATTACTTGACAAAATAAAACAGAGGCAAGACCTTCGTCTATGACGAATGATCAACTAGGTACAGCTGAGGATGAGGGCGTCTGTGGAACATTAAGTTTAATGAACATCCTAGTGGAAACCTTCCTGCTGACTGAATGTAGCGCATTAACAAGAAAAGATAACATTTATCTATCATAAATTGTTCTAATGGAAGAGGATTAAAATATGAATTGTAATTGGAGCATTTTAAATCAGCGGGGGTGAAAATAAAAAAAAATCGTTGATGGAGCTCATTTTATTTGCAAATAAAGAGAGATGTAGTGTATTTCTACTGATATTCAAACTTACCGTTATAAGCTGTTCATTTACATCTATCGTTTTATAAGTGTACCGGCCGATGATCGATCTTTGTAGTATACACCGTCAATAATCTAAGATATTTTTCGTTTGTATGCTGCTTGTTTTTAGCAACCATTCATCTTGTTAGCCAAAGAGGTATTGGGTTTTTTCTATACAGATAGGTGGAGCACAGAAAATATATTTGGACCTCGGTTCATATCATATATAAAAATATCATGTTAGCAGATGTTTGCTAATCATACATGCACTTGCCTTATAAAACCAGCATACTGGAAAAAAATGACTTAAGTTGTCACCTCTTTCAAATACAAAGCAGCTTGACAGCTCAATAGTACTGATAACAATAATGTAATAAATCTAATAATACAATAAATCATGCCCTGTACACGGCAATAAAAATGTGCAAAAATTGATGTCAAATTCCATACAAAATAATACAACGTTTCTTTTTGTTACAAAACGTTTCAGCGATAATTGATTAGCTCCCAATCTCCAGATGTATCATCGTTTAAAAGAATCACTGCCCTTTTATCTTTTCATTATAGCTTTTGTGACAATAAACTTTTTCTAAGCGTTACGATCGTACAAAGTGCTTTCGGTTCAATACATCGTTTAAAGCTAACTGTATGGATATCAATAGGTTTTACCAGCAATGTACAAACAAATGTCATCCTAAAGATTAAACAAGTCTTTAAAAAGAAATGACAACTGAATTTCATCTGGACATATTTACATGCATATCTAAGATTTATTCTAAATAAATATACACATCATAAAAATATATGAGAAAGCATTTAGTATATCTGGTGTATAACACAGGAACTGTATCTACGACAAACATAATCTTCAATTAATTCTTAAAAATTGTTGTTGTGGACCTTTTTAAGAAAGAAATGTACATGTATGGATAGCACATGTATTCAAGCTCAAAAGTCCATTACCCAAAACAAAATAGGAGCAGAGCAAACACGGACCTCCAAAACACCATAGGTCGGATCAGGTGCCATTGAGGAGTGAGCATGCCCTGTCGACCGGTCACAACCCGCCGTGTGCTCCTTGCATTGCCATGATCGGGAAATGACGGGAAAAGTCCGTCAACAATTAAATGTGTCAATAATGGCCTAACAATTGGTATGAAACGCGTCAGTCAGTATTTAACTTTCTGATAAACTGTATTTGCTGACAACGTCATCATAAAACTTACGAAATGATTAATTCAAGGAGAATGCTGATACCTTGTATTTTTTTAAAGCCATGCTAGAGACAATAATTTTTTTTGTCTAATTTTATATTATACAATGAAACCTGTCTACTCTAGGACACGAATTTTATATAATAATAGACAGGGTGTCGGATTGCTGAGAGTAACATAACATGAATTTTAGTAAATTGGGAAATAAATTTTTCGTCAGAATTAACAGTGGGACGGATTGTTTGTGTCTGATAAGTTTCAGTTTACCTGTATAATAAATTAGGATAAGATTTATTTTTATTCATAGCACAGTTCATATCCTAACAAAAGGATAAAAGACAACTAGCTTTGACTAAGTACATGAACTCTTTACAACACATATTTACTTCAAAACCAAGATAACGAAAGATGTTTTCTTTGCAAAAAACCAGTGATACATGAATTGTTATATTGCCGTGAACAACATATTAAGAAAGAATTTACTCGGCTACCTTTTTCGGAACATAACTAAGTATTTTTATTATTACTTAGTAATACTTCTATCGATGGATCTCTTGAAATAACTGATATTTTTGTATCAAATGAGAGGCTAGTATTTTAAATACTAATCCTTACATGTAAATTGATCAGTGTCTATGAAACATTCTATTTAGTTTTGGAAGGTAACACTTTTGAGGACCAATTCCACATTACCGTTTTAGTCTCTAAGTTATTATGATGATTCAGTTGTCAAAGCTTTCTAAGTCCAATAAATCATAATCTTTTGAATTTTAAAAAAAATACATTTTTGAAATCATACAACTTTATTTGTTTTTCCAACCTTAAAAACTTACTGAATTCCGCAATAGTTTCCTGAGCCATTGATCATGATTCTTTTTCAATCCCTCATCCCTAAGCCCAGCATTTTGTATTTCAATAGAAAAATTCTTTCAATATCTAAAGCTCCTTTTTGTAAAAGATGAAAATATTATACATGTATTTTAGTAAATGTTAAAATGGGTAAAACACAAATATCCGGCCGAGCAAGAGGTTAGAAAAGTGGAAACCATTAACCGAGAACAGACTCCAGTAAAATTTAGATTTAAAATAGCTTGTCATTTATAATAACCACGTTATCAAAAATTTACAGGTTTGTATAATATTCCAATTTAAACATACTGTGCAGTACAAAATTTTGTTTTGTTATGAAAATTATTTCAAAAGTTATATTGATTTGAAATTTTGACTTATGTCTGTTCTCAGTTTATGGTCTTGGGGTCAGGATTTGGGGTCATAAAACCACAGGCACTTGTTTCGGTAATAAATTTTTAACCCATAGTATAATAATAACACAAGGTATCTAACTCCAAATTACACGGATTAACCCCCTCCTCAGAAACGCACTCATTTACACTTTCAGATGAAAAGCACTGGTAAACTTTTTTATTATTGAATTGTCTTCTATACAAATTATCTATACAACCATATATAGCATGCATGTCTTTGCTTTCGTTTGTTTCCATAAACAGCGTCAAAACTCAACCATGAAACGGTATGTGCTGATCCCGCACGAGGATTCTGACTGGCTAAAAATCTATCTCTAAAATTACTTCAGATAAACATTGAAATGTTTTCAGAAAAAATCAGACGTAAACAAGTTCTATTTATTCACTGCAATATTCAAACACTGGAACTGAATTTTTAAATCCACTCATTTTTTAATTTTGCTCTTTGTCCGAGATTAGCACATACCGTTTTATGGTTGAGTTCGACTTTTCCATCCGGCGAGTAGAGTTGTGACGCTGCTTACGGAGACTAAAGAAAATAAAGACAAGCATGCCACATATGGTTGTGTAGATAAATTATCTTAGAAGACATAGGGATAAATAGTTTGTAAGTGTAATTCCTCTGAAAGTGTAAATGAATGCGATGGAGGGGGTACTCCATGTAATTCAGAGAGAAATACCTTGTGTTATTATTATACTATGGTTTAAAAATTTATTATCGAAACAAGTGCCTGTGCATAAAACTTAGATTTGCTCACTTTTAATCGTATTAGAATAACTTTTTCCACATATATATTCGATGTCTTTTGTAAAAGTGAGAATTAAATCAAAAGTGAGTTTGTCTAAGCTTTATGCCCCCACCCACCCACCCCCCGGGGGGGGGGGGTTAGATGCCTACATGAGGAACCCTCTTTATTGATTAGTTTACCGGGGTAATACATATACATTGTATATGCATTGTATACAGGCAATACATGTAAAACAATGACTAACACATCCAAAAGGTTTTCTTCAAACATAAATATAACAATCAGTGAAATTGCAAAAAGCTGATTTTGAAAGCTGGTTTGCTTCTTGAAAAATAGTTGAAACCCCTTGATCACCAATTTTTTTAGTAGCCTGACTTTACTCAAAAAGACCTTCCAGCAGAATAATTTGGGGGTAGGGCATAAAAACCATATGCATGCATGTGATAATAGAAAATTACTATATAAAACAGGGAATACTGACGATCGATGGAAAGTGTGATATCATTCCGTTCTTGTGTGAAATTTTTACTTCTTTCCTCACCATTTAACAGGCATAATTTATTTTATTTATCAAATAATACTTATTCATGATTTCCTTAATTAATGTATCACTTAAGAAATATGGTAAATTATTTTTAATCATATTTCTAAGAATTTGATAGGTGTTCATGTTTCTTACATGTTTAACTAGGTGCATATGAGTTATGCCTCTTGCCTAATCCTATTAAGTTTCTGACGTATATTGTCTTTTATCATTTGTTTATTGAATCTCCTGTGTCATTGGATCTTTTATTTAAGTGTAACTGGCGTGCGGCCAAATTCATATTTTTATCTAATTTTCGCACAAGTTCATTCAATAAAATTAACAATTCATTCGAATTGAAATTGCTATTGGAAACCACATATAACTCTCTAGAGCTTGTTTATTTTTTTTCTATATGATTGAAGTTGGAATTAGGATAACGGATGATTTTTTAATAAAGTTATGACCGTGATGATGTCACATACTATGCATCATACTGGTTATTGTGCCTATATATGTTATAGAAATATGATAACCAAACGTCGCTTCATTTTCAATATATAGATATTAGCTGGGATCTTGAAGTTCCTTTGTTTTTATAGATTAGATTATAGATTATGGTCACTTTGGTACCCCTTAGACATGTAGAGATCTGGTATTCATTACCTAACTTTAAATTCACTTACAAGCTCAGATAACTTCAGTTTTATCGTTTTTCTAGCAAGAACATTAACAGCTTTATTTAAAATTGTTCTTCAACGACCAGTCTTTTTGGATGACTGTATAAACCGATGCCCTGCGCCGAAGGTGCTGGCAATAAGGTGCTGACACAAAAAAGATCCCTTACTCTCAATGGACCCGAATGGCGAGTGAGACCTAACATTACCAGCCTTCCAGGCCATCGACAAGAGGTGACCTCTTAATATGAGTGAAATTTTTAGATGGCACTATATAGAAAAAACTGTATCTTATTTCACACTATGAATTATTATTTCTATTAGGATTTAATATCTATGTTCTAAAACTCATTTCTCTTTTGGTATTTGCATTGAAAACTCCTTTTTATCCATCATATTCACATT